ATTGGAAGATTCTGACATCACGGCCAGCGGCGCTTTTGGTTGGACGTTGGTGACGTAAAGATCCACCCGTTGCCTATAAAAAAAAAAAGCCAAGCGGCGCGTTGCCAGGAGTTGACCTAGGCGTCAGAGAGAAGCAGACGTATGCGTGCGAGAGAAGACATCTCGGCTTTTCGAGTCCCTAAGCTGTCGGCCCCAGTGCCGAATTTGTAACGCCTCTATTTCTATGCTGTACATAAACCTTGCCCTAACTCACCGTCGTCTCGACCGCTTGTCTATCAGCTCTGCGCAGAAGCAGTCGCGAGCTGAGTAACACACGCTACGAAACGGCTGGTGACCTTGGCGGCGGAGTTCGGAGCAGTGGCGCCTTCGGTGGCGTCGCGCCTTCGTAACAGGCTTCAGGACCCGTCGCTGCGCATACGCACTACCATCGCACAGTACGCAACGCGGGACATTCCTAGCAAGCTGGTGGCTACCAGCCACTGGCGTCTCGTAGTAAAGTTAACGGCCACTCCAACGTCCGTTGCTTTGATGGCCAGCGGGATGTGAGCAAGCGTCTGGTCCTCACAACAACTGTGGTCGACGGTGAGGACTGCGAGGCTGAGCCTGCCCTCAGGGTAAGTGGTGATTCGAATCGATGCAAACGGAATATATGATAACTTAAGCTGGAGCTTTGGTGACACTGAAATAAGAAAAGATTCGCTGTGCTCGCTAAGGAACTCAAGGGAATAGCGCGCTTCGACTCGGGGAGCGCTACCTTGAATTTCTCGGTTCGATAACTCATTACATTAACACAGGATGCATGCAACCGCATTCACCGACTGGTCGATGTCGAGGGGTGCTGTCGTGGACGACGGTGTAGGCAGAATGTCTTTTGAATGGGGGGGGGGGGGCGCATTCTTTTGGTATGAAGAGGGGGGCCCGGGCAGGTAGGTGTGGCCCGGTGGGCTCTATATGCTATGGGGGAAAGAAATATGCCGGGCTCGCGCAAACCCGCTCTGTGGCATCCCCTGTTTAGTACGCCACTGGTCGCGGAGCATTGCCCTTTCCGATATCAGTGATATTCGTGCTTTATCATTGGTCAAAGCCACTATCCGTCCGTGTTATCACAGGGTTCGACCAACCGCGAGTTCTTGATGGTAACAGCGTAAGGCAAAAGTCATGCATAATCTGACCTTCACACTGACACGAGCGCAGAAAGAAAAAGGAAACGAGTGTTGCTTTGAGTAAACATTCGCTTCTCAAATTGCAGCTCTCCTTGGGGAACCATACGTGGACCTGGGCAGAAGCAACCGTGGTCCCCTGGAGTCGGAGTTCGTGTCGTTGGGCCCATACGCAGTGCTTACGTAGAACTGCCAGACCCTAGTGTTCCGGCTCCTCACCAGATTCAGCATCCTTCCGCCGACCACCCTGACGGACGCTCAAAAGGTGTTCCAGGAGGCCGTCGACAACATTCCCGGGGCGACGGTGATGTTTCTCGCTGGTGCCATGATCACCTACAAGTACTCGTAGTCCGGCGCGAATGCATTGGGTTGGAAAACCCGTGTAGGTCATAAAAAAAAAAAAAAGACGCCGAGCCAGCGATTCCTCAACTAAGAGAACTGGAGGTCCTATACAAAAACAAAGAAAATTCTAGCCCACATGTCTCTCGTTTTTGCGAAGTATGCGTCAACGAGGTTGTGCCTAAGAGCATAATGTTGTGAGGTGGATAGTAAATATCTCCACAAATTTCACGCGCCTTCGCTCATCTAGAAAGCATGCAAATGTGGCAAGTGACATGGTACTAGCGCAGTGCACAGGGAATCTGTTAACACCACGTACGACTGAAGAAATGTGTGATTGAAGTTTACGCAGTGCAAGAATATAGTTTCCATTAATTCTGCCTGGAATATTGTGAAATCGGGCAAGCGAAGAGAAAAGGACCATCTAAGATCCGTTGATGAGATTACCACTGTATACAGCCTTCACGTCAATAGGTGACCGGTAGGTAAAATGGGCAATTGCGGGGAACTGTGTGATACGATTGATTCCGGTTAGACGCACCACACGAGTCAGCAGTGGCACGCGCGCATTTTTGTACTGCTCCGTTGACAAAAGCACCTCGCCGTGCAATGTCAGTGCACTAAAAGTCGATTTTTTTTTGCCAACCGTGACTGTGATGGAGACAAGCTACGAAAGCCATGAACGGTCAGGAAACTTTTTAATCGCAATAAAATGGTCTGCAATGCTTTTAGGCTGCTCGGAAGTATACCGTCAGTTTGGCTAGCAGATCAGCCGATACACAAAACAGTTTTTTGTATGATACGTTACTGCAGATAAAAAGTCTCCATTTTGAAGATCTCAGGTGATGGGGATGGTTGTAGCAGTGTGCTAAGAGTTCATTTCGGGATCGTTGTTTCGGCCGACATCGTCAGTCGATCGGCATGAAGCGCAACCCTTATTGAGCGCTTTAGCGTACTATAAGATGAATTTCTTAGTCGAAGCCAGATGCTTATTCGAACGCTGATCTTGTGCAAGCTGCACGGCATGGCGGCACATAAACAATACAGTCCGACCTAGACGGCGCCGAATAATCGAAACTCTGCGCTTGTTTAACGCTCTTCTTGCTTTGGGTGCCGTCCTGGCGCACAGTTTGACCAAGATAAACTCAAATGAACTCGTCCAGCACTTCGTGTAAACTTACTCTTGAGTGAAGCTTTCGTGTTTTTTGTCATATATAGGGGTGCAATGGCCGGCGCTAATCTCGTATGGCAGGTAGATTTCCGCCCGCTCGTTCCCATAATACCTTTGCTAGGCGCACCAGTGCCTAGCAAAGATTTATTTCTCAATATTTATCTCTCACAATTTAATTCTTAATATTATATTCACAGCAAATTCATGTGTAAGATTTTTTAATGCGGGATACACACGTACCTGTGATAAAATGGTTTTCGCACACTCTGGCTTCAAAGTTCCGTACTCAAAGGCTACCTGTTGCTGTGGCTCTCTTCACAGTCGCAGCCTATCTCGTTTTTCCGTCTTCATTACATGGGAATTGATACCTGCATTTGCCTTGCATGCTCCAGTTGGAGCAGCCAATGGCTGAACAACCGACCATGGTTTATCAGGACGAAGGTAAACGGGCGACCGCGCACGCGAATGCTGAACAATCTGTGGCTTGCGGCGAAGCGATTTGCCGTCGTCTACTCTTCTCGAACCGGAGGCCGGTAGCAGACGGTGCATCCCACAATCCCTCGCTCTTTTACTGGTCACCTATAGCAGAAGCATCTGTGGCTACCACTGGGTTTATCCGCACGCTCTTGAAGTGGTCTTCCAACAACCCTTTTAAATACCTGGCTGGTAGTAGTGTAGCGATTCTTGGAAATATATCATCAAATTATATCATCATCAAAAACTAGCTAGGCAGCACCACAACTGCTAATCGAGTTGCACCCACATTTAGCCTGCGTAGTGTATTTCCAAAGCGGTTTCAATATCTTCCGTGGCTCTGTGGTATAGAATACCCGATTGTCACGCAGAAGCTTGCGTTCCCTTCCTGCCGGTCTACGCACGCCGTTGACGTCAGCCTCTCTTAACCCTATGACAATAGGTGACCTGTAAAAGAGCGAGGGATTGTGGGATGCACCGTCTGCGCTGCCGGCTCTCGGTTCGAGAAGAGTATACACCTTTTCACAGGAAGGAAAAAAAAAACACTGCCATGATGGGCTGTGCGCGGGAGTACAAAGGCTAAGGGCGCAGCGTTGTCAGTGCATTCTCGAGGGGACGCGCCAATTTGCACAGCCCAAGGAGGGCTATGGCGGCGCCCAGGGAGGCGTTTATGAAAAGGTGAATAGATGACGGCGAACCGCTCTGCCGCAAGCTTCAGGATTCGCGCGCGCGGTCGCCCGTTTATTTTCGTCCTGATAAATCATGGCCGGTTGTTCAGCCGTTGGCTGCTCCAACTCGAGCGTGAAAGGCAAACGCAGGCATCGATTCCCATGAAATAAAGAAAGAAAAATAAGGTGGGCCGCGGCTGTGAAGAGAGCCACAGCGACAGGTAGACTTTGCCTACCGAATATTGAAGCCAGAGTGTGCGAAGACCATTTTAACACAGGTACTTGTCTATTCCGCACTAATAAAAAAGCTTACGCATGAATTCGCTGCGAATATTATATCGGGACGTAAATTGTCGCGCAAGTGCTCCTAGCAAATATATTATGGGAACGCGCGGGCGAAATCTATACCTGCCATATGAGATGAGCGCCGGCCAATTGTACCCATATATATGACAGGAAACGCGAAACCTTCACTCAAGAGTAAGTTTACACAAAGTGCTGGACTAGTCCGTTTGCGTTTGTCCCACCGCGGTGGTCTAGTGGCTAACGTACTCACAGTCCACTGTCATGATTTTTACAGTCTACTGTCATTGTTTTTATCTCAGTTCTGTACTCTCTTAACATAGTTTTTCATAATGTATAGAATCTTCCCTTTTTCGTCTTTCAAGAAGGTTTCTACATAGCTGTGTGTATTCCCATTTATTTATCACTTCTATTCCACGATTCTCATCTCGTCTTTTTATTCTTCCCATTTTCCACCTATTTCTGTTTTGTCTGTGTGTTTTCGGTCTTGTTATTTGGTATATTTTCTGAACAGTGTCTGTATTACGTTTGCTTGTATCGTTTTATTTTTAGCGTGTGCCTGAACTAAGGCCGGCAGTGGTGCATTCTGCAGGCTGCACGAGTGCATAGCCGCAAAACTCACCTTGGCTTGTCGGCAAAGGCTTGCAGCCATTCAGAGTGGCGTGAAAATAAACACTATACTGGCTCAATTGCCGGCTTCAGCAACGGCTCGAGCATCGGCTTGAGCACCCGTGGCCCTGTGTTTCACCCACGCAATAATTACATCGCTTGTACAGTTCTGAGTATACTGATATAATCCAACATTTATTCAATTTTGCGAAGTTCCATTTCACGTTTGAACACCAAGGTGGTTTCGACATTCAGCAGCTAACTACTGGCTTGATCTTAGACCTGAGCACCGGCCTCAGCCCTCTCCTTCACCCGCTTGTACAAGTTTTGAAGCCGTGCGAGCAGTGTTTCGTACTGGATCGGACGTGATTTAGGTTGCACTAGATGTTCGAGGTACTCGGTCCACGACGTGCCTGGCTTTTGCTTGGTCTGCTCAATGAGGGAGCGGAGCAGCTGGTCGTACTTGTCGTACGACTCCGCGAACGTCTTCAGCACGGCCTCGGCCAGGTCGCGGGGCATTGGAGGCTCGTCCCGGAGGCAACCTTCCACCGCGTCGCAGATGGCCACTCGGACGGTGTCGTGCTGCACTCGGTCCTTGTACCTCCTGGCCGACTCCGTCATCGTACCGGGTTGCGTTCCCGGCTCGTTGTACCAGGGATTCTCGTTGAGCAGCGATTGTATCGAGACCAGGACGCTGCCGATGCAATGAACGGGACTCCAGGGTGGGCCCTGCCATGTGCCGAGTATGCTGAGGCACACCTGTTCAAATAGACAGTGTTTGTCACTGCACTGGGGATTCATTATTGAAGACAGCGCTGTATAGCCGCATTCTGAGTTAGAGATATCGTGCGGGCTGATTATATGGTTGAGAAAAGGCAGGTAGGTAGTATTTTCACGCGTTGAACACAGGGAATTCGACGCCCGGCAAAGCGTCACTGGCGTTGAATTACGACCTTTTGAAAACGGCCCCTTGAAGTTTTAACCCCTCCAGCCTACCGTAGCTTCCCTAAGTTCTGATAAGCACAATTATTTCATATGTGAAAAAGTGATAGCACTATGTTTTTTTGTGTGTGCGTCGTACATTAAGCTACTCTCCAAAGAATGCGAAGCATCTTTTTTTTTTAGAAATCGCAAAGCTGTCCTGCTGATAACTCCGCATATGTAATCCGCGAAATTAATTTTATTACGACAGCAATACTAGACAGATTTAGTTGCACATCCCCAAGAGCCGTATTACGGACGCAGCCTGCCTGCCATTTGCAATTGGAGGTTGCGTCCGCACGGCTGCCGAGGCCGCGCAACTAAATCTCTCTAATATGGACACTTATCGACGGGTTTCCGATGTCGCCGTCATTTATGTTAAAGCTTTGTGAAGCGTAACTCACCACACAACTACAGCGGCTCACGCAGCCACCTACGGGCCGTGGCCTACTCCTACGCCTCGGCCACATCGGCCAATTTTACGACGCAGCTCGCCGCAAGCCCATTCCAGACCAACTATGTGCCACTTATGAAGTCGCTCCCGTTTCCCGCAATTTTGACTACATCAGGGCCGTCCGGAAGCCAGAGTTGGAGCCATCGAACGAACTCGTGCGCACAAGAACAGACGCTGACGATCATGCACTCACAGAACGTACCAGCCATAGAGTTTCCTAAAATTAACTAAAGGGGAATCTGTCGCTGCGATCGTTCAGCGACCATGGGAATAATGGGTAGTACACACATTTGCCTAGTATTCGTACTTGCTGGTGGCGAATCGTACTAGCGGCTTCGTTTATTGCTGTGTTTCGGTTTTGAATTAAACCCTTTTGCACTTAATGACCCAATTTGGAAAGGTAAGTCTAAAAGAATAGGGAGGTGAAGCGCAACCGCTGAACATTTGCTGATTTTTGTATCTTGAGAAAGCAGCTTCAATCCACACGAACACACACGGAGCCAAAAGCAGGCCAGAAGTACGAAGGTTAGGCAAATGTGTGCACTACCCATCATTGCCATGCTCGCTGAAGCGCCGTGCGTTGCAGCTCCTATAGACACTGGCGCCAGAGTTCCCTCTAGTGCTTATTAGGAAACTCTATGGTACCAGCGCTTCCGTGAAGTGCCACAGCATCCCAGAGGCTGAGAAACATATACGCACCTTTCCGTTGGCGTAGAGGTTCGGATTGAAGCGCACCCTGCCGGCGTCCGTGGTCATGATTCGCACCCGGGGTGAGTTGACAGGGTAGTTGGCGGGGAACTTCAGGAAGAAGTGGAAGAAGCCGCCTTCGTATGGGGTTCCTTCGGGCCCCACGATGAGGGCGTGAACCCTGGTGAGGTCGCTCTCCTCGGGCGAGATGTAGATGCCCGGCATGGGATCGGCCTTGAAGTCCGCGATGTCCCGTTTGACCCTCGCCAGGCACGAGGGCGTCGGCTGCTCGTTCACGAAGAGCATCGGGTCCCACTGGTGTCCCACCTGCATGGCGCTTCTCTGCCCGCACTGGCACCTCCCTGGTGTCCAACCACAGCTGCTGTGCCGGAGGCGATCCGCTGCAAACGGCAGGCCCGATTAGAATGCCACGTCATGTGGGAGGGGTGGCTGTTGATGATGATGATGATGACGACGATGTTGTCTCGACTATGGCTCATGCCCACTCAAGCGGATTGACCAAGAATCGGTTAAATAATTTTTATTCATTTCAAGTAATAAATAATTCTAACAAAAAACGGAAAGAACGTGCTTAAGAAGAGAAAGGGTGCAATAATTGCTTTTTACCATTCTGACCGCACAAAATAGTCGTTATCTTGAAAATAAAGTACTGTAATATCGAAGAAATCTGAAATATATGTTTTGAATTTACTCATTAATGCTATAATAACACATATTGACGCCCGCTGTAACACACTCGTCCGTGGCTATACAGCGGGAGTGGTTCTTGGCGCTTTGCGATCGCTTCCGTTTTCGAAAATAGAATCAATCACCAGCGCAAGCTCCGCCTTGGCAACAGTCGCGTTCATGTCTATAATGCGACTGACTGTAGAAGAAACGCCAGGCCAGAGCGGAAAGCGCAGCACAGTAACAGCGAAAGCTAGAACGGCCTTTCAGAGCCTCTTCTGTGAACGCTCATTGGGTAACTGCTGCAAGCACACTTGCTTGATACCCACTACGGCATTAATAATCAAAAATTTTGGGTAGTAGGCCGGCATTTGCTATGGTGTTTTTTTTTCATTCTTCTGAGAAGCATCGTATCCGCTATACGCTTGCAAGGAATTCTGTGCCGATTTTTCACGCACTGGCTGACGACGATGAGGAATTATGCCTCAGGTGGGTATGCGCCACAGTGTATAGGGGATCAGAACAAGCTGTTGTAACGGGTTGGAGCATTGGACGACCCACTCGTCACGCAATTCGCATTGTATGACGCCTGCTCGTTCCTGTGCTGATTTAAAACGCTTTATTTCTCATATTACCGCGATTTCTTTCTCGACATCAAGCCTACCTAAGGCAATTTCGCGAATGAGTCTCAAGCAGCGGCGTAGCTCAGTGGTCAATAAAGAAAAAAAAAAGCCGCGTGGTTCAGTGGTAGAACATTGGGCTGGCACACAGCGGACCCGGGTTGGAACCCTCGCTGTGCCCTTGGTGTGTTTTATTTACAGTTTTTTTTATTATTACTTCGTGCGATAGTAGTTACGGACACCAGCGGCGGCGGACAACTACTACGCCGCGCATGACCCGTGTTGCGATCTGATAACAACTTCCGCTGTAAAGCCGGGCTTGCAATAGGCATTAAATGATGCTTCGAAAAAGCCAGTGTTACGCACACTGTCGTTCCCTACCTTGTGGCGTAGTTGAACAATATATGCGCCAGTTGCAGGATGCATGACCTTTGAGAGAGGCATTCGCGAAGCTGCAAGCGCTGCTTCGTGTACGCTGGCTGCCACGATGCGTTCCAGACACATTTTTCATCTTGATCGATTGATATGTGGGGTTTAACGTCCCAAAACCACCATAAGAATATGAGAGACGCCGTAGTGGAGGGCTCCGGAAATTTCGACCACCTGGGGTTCTTTAACGTGCCACCCAAATCTGAGCACACGGGCCTACAACATTTCCGCCTCCATAGGAAATGCAGCCGCCGCAGCCGGGATTCGAACCTGCGACCTGCGTGTCAGCAGCCGAGTACCTTAGCCGCTAGACCACCGCGGTGGTGCCACATTTTGATCTTACTTCTCACGTATTAATAATAATAATAATAATAATAATAATAATAATAATAAACAATCAATCATTATATTTAGCGTGCCCAGGAAGCGCACAGACAAAAAGAGATCAACACACAGTGGGAAGAAAAAAAGACGACGTTAATCATGGCACGGGCGTAAAAAATAATGTGAAAAGCACACAACTGCGCGGCAGGCTTCGTGAAAAAACGCAAAAGAAAGGAATATGTACATCTGCAAAACTATGTTAGGACAGGGCAAAACTCAGATGAAAAGATGACTGCGGGCTATCAAAAACGCAACGAATAAAGAAAACTGACGTTTTACAGACTTTGTGTTCTCTGTTGGAAGAAGCTGGCAGGTACACGCAACGGTCGATTCTTTCTGGTTAATTTACACGGAATCCGTAAATCAATACATCTGCAAAGTAAAGGTCAGGATATATTACTGCGAACTAGCTTGTAAAGAAGTAACAGCTCAGCGCTGTTTAGTCGGTGGTAAAGTGATGGCAATGATAAATATCCATAGCAGTATTGGAACGAGATCCAGAGTCATTTATGGCAAAACAATGGTTGTAAATGCTTGTGATTTTTTTTTCTCTGGACTCGTTCGATGGCGCTACTGCTGGAGTTAGCAAGGCCATTCCAAATCACAGATGCATATTCAAGTTGAGGAACACATGGTATTCTGGTGTAGAATTTTTGAAAGGCTGTGAGAGAACTGAATTCTCGAGAGATTCTAGAAACAGAGCCGAGAGGACCAAGACCACGCGTGGATGCACGTTTAGTGTCAGCAGAAAAAAAAAATAGCATGCAAATAAATGGAGCACCAGGATCACTCACTGATCTCATAAACATTACAAAATTACAAGGCACTGCGAGAGTGTAAAAATCACACGATGGGTGTTTTGCAAAATGTAATAATCAAACAATTAATAATAATAATAATAATAATAATAATAATAATAATAACGCATGAGAGAACACTGGTAATTGCGCATTTTCGTGCGTATGTGCCGGCATTTATCGTTTATTAGGAAATGCGCCACACCGTTAGTATTGAAATGATATGATCACATGCAGTTTTATTTATGACGCGGCTGCTTCGCGTAGGGCTGTATATAATGTGGAGTTTGGTTTAGGCATCATGCAGGGCCCTCATTCGTGAAAACATGTCATGACGATTGCGTTCGGATAGCTAATATCATAATATTAGCTAATATTATGTAATAGCCCCGCCGCGGTGGTCTAGTGGCTAAGGTACTCGGCTGCTGACCCGCAGGTTGCGGGTTCGATTCCCGGCTGCGGCGGCTGCATTTCTGATGGAGGCGGAAATGTTGTAGGCCCGTGTGCTCAGATTTGGGCGCACGTTAAAGAACCCCAGGTGGTCGAAATTTCCGGAGCCCTCCACTACGGCGTCTCTCATAATCATATGGTAATTTTGGGACGTTAAACCCCACAAATCAATCAATATTATATAATATTATCTAATATTTAATATTATAATATATAATATCCTGATCAGGCACGTTCGCATTAGCGATCACGACCAAGAAATAAGGCACCTACATAAAATAAAAAAAATGTGAATTCGGCAGCCCACGCTAATGGTGTTTATTATAAAGTTTAGGCATTCTGAGAGTTCAATACACGGTCAACAAAATGTGCATCGTGTGCGATTCAGTTGCACCCTTCTTAACGTATCGCTGTTAAGTGTGTATGACGTGAGATTTGATTGACGCTTTAAAACTCCACGACAAATAATCATTTATTAGGGCACTCATCAAATTCGCGATAAGTTTACAATCTGCACAGTCAAGAACGTCATACATAACCAAACGAAACGTGCATTTTTTTTTTCAACAGGTCAGCACAACCTGAATCTTGAATTTCAGCCTGCGAGTTGTACTGTGAAAATTTTTTTTTTCTGCTTTCGAAGTTGCTTCATCAAGCATCGCGCGGCACATATTGTGGTAACTGGCAGATGAAAGTAATCGCAGATGTGAGCTAACAACATTCGCAGAAATTTCGTTAAGTGAAGCGTGTAGCATGTAGCCATCACAACCTTCGAATAATCAGCAATTTGGTCCATCGATGTGCAAGATAAAAATGCACTGAAACTACCATTTCTTTAACTATGTATTATGTAAACAATATAAGTTACATACATGACGTTTTTTTAATACAGCTATATAGGATCGCTTAATCATAATAGCAAGAGTAGGGAGTTTCAATGTATTATGTGTGCCGACAGAATTTCACACTTGTAAAAATATGTCTGCTCTCGTATATACACTAATGATGTGGTAATAATGACAAACTTACTGTTGTAAACCTAAATTTCGGGACTTGTAGAAGCAAAATTTACAAGAATGCAACAGTAAAGTACACAAAGCTTAATTAACCATGGTTCGTCGTTTTTTTACTGTAGTTGCAACAAACAATCTCTATACTCGATACTCGATCCTGTTGGTGTAGATAATAAATAGGTCACCTTAGTGTACGGATTGTTAGATATGACAATCCGCATAAAAGTCAGTGGCCACGGTTCTATATATACTTTGTTAGTCCCGTATAATGGAGCACTTCTCCATATAAGGTTCTACTTGATATTTTATATATGGTGTGGCCGTATGCCTTATAAGGGTGAATTTGACTCACTATACGGACCAACCCCGCTATATATGTCTGTATTTGACCCTGTATATGAACCTATCCAGCAGGATATACATCCAGAAACACGGTGTTTCAGCTAAAAAGCCTCAAGCACTAAAAAAAAAAAGAATCACGAGCGCTACACATCTCCGATTAGTGCAGTATTGTTCTGAGCCATATGGAGCACGTCAGAATATTTTTTGAGCCGCCAAGCTTGGAAATTAACAGAAATTGCGTAATTAACTTTTTAAATAGGGGCTTTAGTGAAAAATCCCCAATACAGAATTTGTAGCGCTTAATCAGATATAATAAAAATTTCAATCTGCGACAAGATAACTGCGCTGCTTTAATTTTTTGCAGCCAATGTGTAGGGTGCGCGAAATTAAAAAAAATGGCAGCATATTCACGGAGTGAATGATGGGGAGTGGGGCGAAGCATTCGTCCGTCCATTCGTTCTTGCTTCCGTTCGTTCCTGCGTACGTCTGTGTAACCGTCCATGCGTCCATCCACCCGTCCGTGCGTGCGTCTGTTCGTGCGTCCGTCCCTGCGTTCGTCCATGCATCCGCGCCTGCGTCCGTTCATGCGTCCATCCATGCATCTGTCTGTG